GTAATGTCAAAAACATGTGAGGGTTAGGGTTAGGTTTTGGGTTGAGGTTAAGGTTAGGGTTAGGGTTAGGATTAGGTTTTGGGTTGAGATTAAGTTATGGGTTGAGGTTAAGGTTAGGGTTAGGATTACGTCCAGGGAGAGTGTTAGGTTTTAGGTTGAGGTTAGGGTTAGGATAAGGACCAGAGTGAGGGTTAGGGTTAGGTTTTGGGTCGAGGTTAAGGTTAGGGTTAGGATTAGGTTTTGGGTTGAGATTAAGGGTAAGGGTTAGGATTAGGGCCAGGGTGAGGGTTAGGATTATGTTTTGGGTTGAGATTAAGGTTAGGGTTAGGATTAAGTTATGGGTTGAGGTTAAGGTTAGGGTTAGGATTACATCCAGGGAGAGTGTTAGGTTTTGGGTTGAGGTTAGGGTTAGGATAAGGACCAGAGTGAGGGTTAGGGTTAGGTTTTGGGTCGAGGTTATGGTTTCGGTTAGGATTAGGACCAGGGTGAGGGTTAAGATTAGGTTAGTTTAATTTAACTTAGCACACCTACATGCTTAAAACAGGTGGTTCATCAAGGTTTTTAGTAAAGAAAATGGTTCTATATAGACACGGTAAAAATAAATAAAATATACTGTGCAAACCATCCTTCATTTGTTTAATTTCTAACCCTGGCCATTAGGTACAAGTTCAGGAGATGTTTGTGAGGAGATAAGACATAAGATATTCTTCTTGTATAATGAAGGAGAAAGTCAAATGAAAATAAGTAAGCTTCCAAAACTGGAGTTAAAAACCTGATTAAAAGCCACATAGAAGATGTGACTCCTAAAAACCACCTGAAAGACCTGGTAGACACCAAAACTGCCCCCATCAGATAAACAGCACTTAAAGCTTTCATCTTTGAGAGAGAGGAGAAAATCGAGCTGTTTCAGATCTGAAAACATCCACAGGTGTTTCTGTCCATCCTTCCACTGTGAGAAGACGACTCGGCGCTATGGGTCTGAAAGGATGTGCAGCTGTCAAGAAGAACCTCACTGAGGAAAGGAGACAGACACATCAAACAAAGAGGCTGAACAATGGACTGACCACCCCAGAGTCCAGACCTCAACATCACTGAATGTGTTTGATTACTTCAGAAAATGATCAACCAACTTCTAAGACTGAACTTTGGAGGTGTTTGAAGATTTCAGAAACAGATACAGAAACATCCAATTTGACGCTGGAGCCCAGAGTGGTGATCTTTTTCCCAGCACTGAAAAATGAATAACTTGTTAATTAATGGTCATTTTGACTGGAAATTAAATAAATAAAATGTCAGATCATTTTATTTAAATGGGTGCACCAAAACTCTATGTTTAGAAAAGATTTCAATATAAATACAACCATCAGAGTCTAAGACTGTGTACGGAGGGCCTACTGCATCTCCTCTGTCACACTCTGAGCAATGTGAAACATGTGACCCTCTTATAATAACGGTTGTGGTTAGAGGAGCTGCTGGACCATCAGTCCTGCAGAGTGATTTGTGGCTTCTTAGAGGCTACAAGGGAAAATAAACCTTCTTGAAGTTCAGAAGAAATGCTCTCACAGTGCCATTTACATTCCCTTTAAAGATTAGGCAGGCCAGGCTGGAGAATTACAGATTACCTTTAATACGGGGGAGCGAGAGGAGCTTATTTCCCTCTGAAAGTCAGTCTATGAAGCTCAGTTTTCAAGTTGCGCTGGATTATGCCGTTTTTAATGAGGGGCAAAGGGAAGCCCTCTGCTCGTTAAAGCACAGCAGCTTATGAAGCATCACAGAGCAGCAACTTACAGTTCATTACAGTTTACTGCAGTTCATCACAGTTCATAACAGTTCACTAGAGTTCACTACAGTTCACTACAGTTCATTACGGTTCATTTCAGTCCATCACAGTTCATTACAATTCATTTCAGTTCATCACAGTTCAATACAGTTCATTAAAGTTTGTTGCAGTTCACTACAGTTTGTTACAGTTTACTGCAGCTAATTACAGTTCACTACAGTTCATTACAGATTATTACATTTACTGCAGTTAAATACAGTTCACTGTAGTTCATCCCAGTTTATTACAGTTCACAACAGTTCATTACAGTTCACTACAGTTCATTACAGTTTATTACAGTTCTCAACAGTTCATTACAGTTCATTACAGTTCACTGTAGTTCATTACAGTTTATTACAGTTCGCTACAGTTCATTACAGTTCACTAGGGTTCATCACAGTTCATTACCGTTCACACTGAAGTGCAGCAGAGTTCAGCTTTAGGGTCCACTTAAAAGTTAAGGTCTTGTTTGGATGTGTGGTAGTACTCCCTTAAAAAAGATGGTTCTACAAGGGTTTCTTTGTAAAGAAAGTTGTTCTATATAGAACCATGAACACTCAAAGAACCCTTTGCATGTAAATGGTTCTTTCCATGGTAAAATAGTTCTTCAGATTCATGGAGAATGTGTTGTATATGGCTCTATACAGCACCAAAAAAGGGTTCTAGAACCACTTTTGGTTTACCTACAGAACTTTTCAACTGTAAATGAAAATTGTGGGTGTAAAGAAACTTTTTAAAGTTTAATAAACCACCATGGATAATGTGTTGTATATGGTTTATACCTTTTTGAAAATGGTTCTATACAGCACCAGAAAGGATTCTTCTAATGTGACAAGCTTGACATTTAAAAAATAGCAGAAAATGTTTTGCTGCTGTATAAAACCATATACAGCACACTCTTTATCAATCTGAAGAACCATTTTACCATGCAGAGAACGCTTTGAGTTTGTAAAGGGTTCTTTAAGTGTTCATGTTTCTATAAAGAACCATTTTCTTTACTAAAGAACCTTTGAAGAACCATACGCTACATTACATACTCGTTTGTCAAGCTTTTAAAAGTTGTCATCTTCAGCTTATATTCACTGAAATGTTTTGTTGGGAAATGGAAAGTAGTTCTATTCTCACTACAAAGAACCATTTTTGGCACCTTTTTGTCAGCCTGAATGAACACAAATGTTTAAATACTGCCATTTTCTATGCGCATATTCACTCACAAACTCAGAGATAGTGAGTGACAATGCGTATAGCAGTAGGTTTATTACATCACTCAGCTGAGTGGTCACATAACCTTTACGCTATCCAAGAGGTTAGTCACACTGTTCTGAGTGGACAGTGACACAAACACATGAGAACAGCACCACCTTCTAACCCACCAGCCACCAAAGCATGTCTGCAGGGCTTAATACACAGAGCAGCAGACACTTATAGCTGAGCTGAATCATATTCCACTAATATCACTCCACTAACACTGCAGGAGTGCAGGATCTGAGTTTCCTTCTTTAACCTGTAACAAAGTGTCCAGGAAACCATTCAGCTGCAGATAGTTTGGCATGAGTGACCTCACAAATCCCACCATAAATTACAGTCATTAACACGGCTTAAATTAAAGGGTGATAAACCCCAATCTGGCAGCACGCATCAAACAATGCGCTTTGAAATTCAATGCAACAAACAGCTCTGTGATAAGCTAATGCTGTAGAGTCCAGCTTACACAACAAACACACATATAAGCAAATGTTTCCATGTGTTGTTGATATTCTGAGTGTCAATAAGTTACACATCCTCTACAGAGACACATTCCTCCACATTTTAATACATTATTACTGTTAATGCACTGAGTTTAACATAATAAGGAAAAATGGAAATTGAGCATTAAAATTTGCCAAAAAAGCCATATTTAGGCATTTTCTCCATAGAGGATGTGTTATGTTCACTTAGAAGATCAACACAATGTGTGTTTTGATTGATGCAGGATTATTATAAATCACTAAAACTATTACAAAAACTAAAACTAGCAGTGCTTGTTAACTTTAACAAAAAACAACACTTCAATAACACAAAAGTAAATCAAATATGGTATTTTGGATATTATTTGTTTTTCTTTTGGACCTAAAAAAAAACATTGATTCCTTACCTGCGAGAACATGAAAGACAGATGTCACCTTTAAAAAAGATGGTTCTTCAGGGGTTCTTTAATAAAGAAAATGGTTTTATGTAGAACCATGAACACTCAAAGAACCCTTTGCATGAATGAAGGTTCTTTGCATTGTGAAATGATGGAAAATGTGCTGTAGATGGTTCTTTACAGAATCTTTTTTTAAAAGGGTTCTAAAAAGAACCAAAAAGGGCTCTTTTATTGTAAAAAGCTTGACAGAATACTTAAAAGGTTCTTCTAGTTTATGGAAAATGTGCTTTCTATGGTTCTATATAGAATCTTTTTGAAAAGTGTTCTATATAGTATCAAAAAAGATTATTTTATTAGTATTATGACAAGCTCGAACGCTTTTTGGTGCTATAGAGAATCATATACAAGACATTTTAAGCAATCTGAAGAACTATTTCACCATGCAGAGAACCATTTAACCATGCAAAGCATTCTTTGACTGTTCATGGTTCATTTTCTTTACTTACAAACCCTTCAAGAACCATCCTCTTTAAGTGTGTAGGTTTATTAAAGTGACATTCTGTTGAGCTTGGCATCCTTAACTTTTAATGCGCAAGATTTAAATCCAAGCATCTCTGAATCATTTCTATTCCTCATGAAATGTTCACATAATGTAAAGAGCAGCTGGCGCTTTCAAATAGTGTCAAAAAAAAAAGAAAGAAGGATGGAGTGATGAGGCTTTGATTTGACTGCATTGGTGTCACCGCACTGTGAAGTGCTGCCACTTCAAAAGTCTTCTCAGTTCTTTTGATTGACAGCCTCAGCCTGCCATTGTGTTCTCAGAGTGAAAATTGAGGGATAGCGCTAAGACCCCCCACCATCTCTCCCCCGAGCTGTTCCCATACATGGGCCTCCAGGCCAAATGCCTCCAGAGGGGCTTCTCTCGCTCCTCACTCGTCCTTCCATTCATGGCCACTTTGCTCTCAATGGCGCAGGAGCTACCAAATAAGGCAAGGGAGGCCCAGCCTGGGCCGCACGGCCAGGATGGTATATATGAGGCCCAGCAGAGTCACATCCACCACAAACTCTCCACAGGGAAGCAGCTTCTGGAGCACATCTGGTGAGTATGGAGTGGAGTGGAGGAGGCTATGGGGCTCACCGACATCTACTGAGGAGCTACTGGAATAACCAGAGACGTGCAGATCATGAATGAAGTGGAACTGGAAAGATTATCAGTATCAGAGCAGTGGTGTTATTACTGTCCATAGCAGTTGTAATAGTAGTGTTATTACCATGACGGTCATTACTAATAGTAGTTGTAATAGTAGAATTGTTATTATTGTTGATGTTATTATTAGTAGTAATAGTTGGAGTAGTGTTATTATTTTTAGTAGTAGTAGTTGTAGTGTTGGTTGGTGTTGGTTGATGGTTCTTCAAGGGTTCTTTAGTAAAGAAAATGGTTCTGTGTAGAACCATGAACACACTAATAACCCTTTGCATGATTAAAGGGTTATTCGTATTATGAAATGGTTCTTCAGATTGATGGAGAATGTGCTGTAGATGGTTCTGTATAGAACCTTTTTAAAAAGGGTTCTGTTTAGCACCAAAAAGGCTTCTTCTATTGTTATGATATTAAGCTTGTTACAGTAGAAGAACCCTTTTTGGTGTTATATAGAACCATATACTACATTCTCCATCAATCTGAAGAACCATTTCATGATGAACAACAATAGTTCTATATATACCCATTTTCTTAAGTAAAGAACCCTTGAAGAACCATCTTCTTTTAAGAGTGTGGTATTATATACAAATGTTATTAGTGTAACAGTAGGAGTAGTGATATTTCTAGTAGCAGTGGTAATAGTATTGTCATTATTATTGTTATTAGTAACTGTAGTAATGGAAGGATTGTTATTATTGTTATTATTAGTAGTAGTATTATAAGCAGTAGTTATTATTATAAGCAGTAGTAATAGCAGTGTTATTATTTTCAGTGGTAATGATAGTAATATTAGAAGTAGTGCTGTTGTTTTCATTAGTAGTGGTAATAGTATAGTTCTAGTAATAGAAGCGATGTCATTATTAGTAGCAGTAAATTTAGCAGTAGTAATAGCAGTGTTATTAGTAATAATGATAGTAGCAGTACTATTATATGTAAATGTTATTATTCCCAAAATGGGAAATTTAAATAGTTTAATGCAGTGAGCTCTGTGAATTGATGCGGTTGGTCACTCCGATGAACATTTCTCTAGTTTGACTTGGGTATTCATGCAAATTTGTGGGTGTTTTGCTGATGGATGCCAATCCTCCTGTAGAGTCCCAGCCAGAACCATGTGTGACGACGAGGAGACCACCGCTCTGGTTTGCGATAACGGCTCCGGCCTGGTAAAGGCTGGCTTCGCCGGTGATGACGCCCCCAGAGCTGTCTTCCCTTCCATCGTCGGCCGTCCTCGCCACCAGGTATGTTAAAGTGTCATTGGATTTCTTATTATTCCTGGGTAATGGCTAAAAGGCACATCCACAACGTATTTTGTTTCTGTTGATTTGCACTAAAGCTACAAGGCTAATGTAGCTAACAAGTAAATGAAACTCAACCCCACCAATTAGCACGGTGCTAACTAAATCACCACACTTGGAGCTGTTCCAAGTGTAGTGATAGACTTCTAATGGACTTGTTTATGTGGATCCAACACTGTATGTCAGTCTCAGAAAGCATTGAGATGAGTCCAAAGCCCAGTAAGGCTGGAGAGCGAGGTGTTAACAGCAGCTGTGCGTGTGCTGTGCTGCAGGGTGTGATGGTGGGTATGGGTCAGAAAGATTCCTACGTGGGTGATGAAGCTCAGAGCAAGAGAGGTATCCTGACCCTCAAATACCCCGTCGAGCACGGCATCATCACCAACTGGGACGACATGGAGAAGATCTGGCACCACACCTTCTACAACGAGCTGCGTGTGGCCCCTGAGGAACATCCCACCCTTCTTACTGAGGCTCCACTCAACCCCAAGGCCAACAGGGAGAAGATGACCCAGGTAGGGGACAAACATTCTCAGCATCCAGTAGGGTCTAATTAACCCTCAGACAAATACTGAGTGAGTTTTAGAGACTCCTGTAGTGAACTCAAGCTCACTGCAGATAAAAGCTGATCCGTCACTGAGCAGGTCTGATAATTACTGTTCATAGAGATCATAGATGAGATATAAGCTGGCGTCATCTGGAGAGTGATTTATAAATAAAAATAAGCCAGTGTGTTTCCTGTTGTGCTGCTCTCTGAGGACCAACCAGCTTTATCACACACTCTGCAGTGGTCAGTGTTATAAGGTTTAGTAATGAATCGCAAGGTGAAGTGATAGACTAAGTCTAGTGATTTGAGGGTTCTGGCGGACACATGTCTATAAGCTACATCACCATAGTGATAGTAACATTGTGTTTTTACTGTGTATCTCATTATTACAATGTAATGCATTGTCACAGACAACCTAAATGCAAAACAACTTTGTAACGCTGGTGCTGAAAATGACTTACATCCGTTTCTGCAGATCATGTTTGAAACCTTCAACGTTCCTGCCATGTACGTGGCCATCCAGGCTGTGCTGTCCCTGTACGCCTCTGGCCGTACCACCGGTGAGTCCTGGCCTCGCCTAACTTTAGGGATTATTGGTGGTTTTCATCTGTTTTCAAGGTCTGAAGCCATTGCATGTCTAACATCTGTCTCCTGCAGGTATTGTCCTGGACTCTGGTGACGGTGTGACCCACAATGTGCCCATTTATGAGGGTTATGCTCTCCCCCATGCCATCATGCGTCTGGACCTTGCCGGTCGTGACTTGACCGATTACCTGATGAAGATCCTGACTGAACGTGGATACTCTTTCGTCACCACAGGTACACCTGGATCTCAGACTGCTCAGTACAGTCCAAAAGTACACAGTGATTTTAAAAGGCACAAAAATAATTTACTTTAAGATTAGTTTGGTGATTGATCTGAATGGGGGAACCGGGTGGATTCACTGACACAGTAATTCTGCACCAACAGCTGAGCGTGAAATTGTGAGGGACATCAAGGAAAAGCTCTGCTACGTCGCTCTGGACTTTGAGAATGAAATGGCCACTGCTGCGTCCTCCTCTTCGCTGGAGAAGTCCTACGAGTTGCCTGATGGTCAAGTCATCACCATCGGTAATGAACGTTTCCGCTGCCCAGAGACCCTCTTCCAGCCTTCCTTCATCGGTGAGTGGCTAGAATCATACTTTTGCAGTAACGTTTTACAACTTATTACAAAACTGAAAGCATATTAGTAAAGGTAATGGTACAAACCATTGCCAGATTGGTCAGTTTTCTACTAAATTGGGCTGCTTTTGGTCAGATTGTGTGTAGAACATGTGGGGTGGACTAGATTTGATCTTGTTTGCCATTTCCTGTCAGGATTAAATCTAGTCCATATATCTAATATTTCTCATTTTGAGATTGTTTTAAGCCTCATAAGATCATAAAATTATGTAGCAGTTCAAGAACTTTTTACTTGTTTTAAGTTATTTTAGTGAGTAATATTCTCACTATATTAGTAAAAAAAAGATCTAGAAATAAATTAATCATAACAATCTCAAAATGAGAAATACTAAATATATTGACTACATTTAAGATCATATCACTTGCTGAGATCATTTTTGCAGCGTAACACCCAATGATTTGGACTGAAACTTTTAAAGCAATCTGGCAACCCTGATGGCATGAAATCTGAGTATCAAAATGCCCTTCTCAGCCAGTCCACATTATACTTTGAACACACCTGAGCCAGGTAAACAATGACTGAGCTCCTGGTTCAGGTGTGTTAGGAAATGTGACACACAGTGAAAACATGGACTGGCTGGGGTTCCTGGCAGACCGGACTGTAAACACCTGCACTAAACTCGCCCTCTGATCTGGACAGGTATGGAGTCTGCTGGAATTCATGAGACCACCTACAACAGCATCATGAAGTGCGACATTGACATCCGTAAGGATCTGTACGCCAACAACGTCCTGTCCGGAGGTACCACCATGTACCCTGGTATTGCTGACCGCATGCAGAAGGAAATCACTGCCTTGGCACCCAGCACCATGAAGATCAAGGTGAGATTCTTACCACAGCATCTCCTGAAACATTACTATCCAGACTATAACTTTTTTTTGTTCTAAAAACATTCTGAGAATATTACGCACGTTAATTTCATGTTTTCAGTGGGAAGTTTTTTCCCCCAGAATGTTCTTAACATTTTCCAAAAACATCATTATGTAACATAATCTGGCCCTGACAGCATTCTCACAACATTCTCACAACATCCTCCGAATGTTGCAGCTAAAACGTTATGTATTAATTAACAAAGGAATTAAGGCAAAAGATGGTTTTATGAAAATAAGACTTCATAACCTTCAAATCATAATAAAATATCTCCTCTTCTACTTACAGATACAAATGTGGTGTAAATGTATCTTTCAAATGCTGAAGGAATACAAACCCAGTCAGCTTGTACTACGTAAAGCTAGAACTGTAGTAGAACCTTAGAAACGTTGTAGTAAATGGTCACTGGGGCAGTACCCCTCATGTCACTGGGGTGGTACCTCAAGGGTGCATCTCAGTACCTTTAGACAGGGAACATAATTGTACCATAATCCAATTGTATTAACTCCACACACCCCGTCTCGTCTCCAGGCTTTTTATTTTATTGTTCTGTTTTAAAACATTCGGTTATGAAAAAATACAAATATGTACTTTTTACCTGGAAAAACGTTTAATGTGCATAGTTGGACCTTAAAACCACTGTTGTACCTTTGAGGGAACATTTACACTGTTTGTACCTTGATGAACAAAAAATGTACCTGCACTGTACCTTCATTTCTAACAGTGTGGTGGTGTTTATGTCAAGATTCAAGCCTACCTGTTCTCTTGTTTTTGTATCTATTTTCATTGCTTTATTTATTTGATTTCTAAAGAAAATAGCTCCTGTAAGTCATTGAGAATAATCACTTTTCCTTGGCATTGTTCTAAACGTCTAATGTTCTGACATGTTTTCTAGATCATTGCCCCTCCTGAGAGGAAGTACTCCGTGTGGATAGGTGGCTCTATCCTGGCCTCTCTCTCCACCTTCCAGCAGATGTGGATCAGTAAGCAGGAGTACGATGAGGCTGGACCCTCCATCGTCCACAGGAAGTGCTTCTAAATGCCGTCATGGCTTTACGGATGCGATCATTACCTCCGCCCGCAGGCTGCTCTCGCCGATACGTCTTTGTCTTGTACAGTATGTTTACACCAAAGTGCAATTTGTTTGTAGTTATTGACTGATTTGTTGATGAATTTGTATTTGGGTATTTATTGCTTTATAAATAAATAAGACCCGGGACTAAAGGAGCACTTTTGTCTTTTTTTCCTGCGGGTGACACTGTCGGTTTAGCTGGTGAGGTATTACAGCATGTTTTATTTAAAAGACCCCCTGCTTTTTTATGATGTTAACTCAGGGCATAAGCAACATCTCAATATTCATGATACCCACTTTAAAATAAGACTACCCTTATAAAGGTTGATGAATGGTTTAAAATAAGTTTATTCACGCTTATTAATTAGGTCATAAAGACCTTAAAATCATTAATAAGCAGTTACAAGCAGTGGCCTGTTGTTTGCTGAATAGTGAACTCTGATTCATTGATACTGTTAAACCTCAGATTTGATGTTTTGATCTTTCTTTGTCTTCATCAGTTAGCAGATATTACAGCTCACTTTTTGTCCTTTTTATTAATGGGTTATAACTGCTTATTAATGATTTTTAAAGCATTTATGACCCAAAAAAACTAATAACAAATTAATTTTAAACCATACATAAGGGTAGTTTTATTTTGAAGTGGTACTCTATTTATTTAGTTTCATATGAAAAAGAATTAGTACTGATCAGTGTAAAGGCTAAAGGTAACACAACAATAAATAATCATGTACAGAGAAATGCGGTCTACTAAATTGAATATTAAAAAATTGAAAACAATCAACCCTTATTTTATTTTATTTTTAAGAAGGGTAACAATGAAATAAAATCAATCAACCAATTTGTAATTTCAACATAATAAGATAAATATGGCAAATTAAATTTGAAACACTGATAAATAAATAAATAAATAAATAAATAAATAAATAATACATAAATAAATAAATAAATAAATAAATAAGATCAAACTAATTCTATTACTGTAAATCATTAAAATAAAGTAAATAAATGCTATGTTCACAGGGCCCTAGTTGCTCTGAAGCACTAAACAACTGCTTAAACTGTATATAATCAGAATTGCGTCTGTGGTTAACTCCTCATGGATGGTTCATTATGATTTTTTAAAATTGATATTTGGGTCAAATTTATATCCACAACACCACCTTGCATTGTTTAATTAAATAGAGGTTTTCAAAGTAGTTCCACATAAAAATGGCCACACACACACTATTACACACTTCTATAACTTAAGAATAGCTCCATTAGTTTGCACTGAGGTCCTTGTAGTTACTGAATAATAAGCCTTAGTATGTAATAAGCCTGGAAAGTTAGGGGTTAACGAGCTGGCTGGCTACATTAATGTTAGCTTAACTGTAGTTAACTACAGTTAACTGTTTCGGTCCTTGTTTATAATTTTCCAAAATAAATATATACATATAAATAAATAAAAAAGTGGTTTAAAATTAATAGGAAAGACAAACCCAACAAAGTACAGAAATATATAGACAGAAAAGGTGTGGGCTGAAGGTTAAGCTTATGTTGCCTCCCCTTTTTACTGAATATACTCTAATAGACAATCCTTTCATTACTAGATGTCGAAAAAACAAAAATAAAACCAGAAGAAAACAAGAGATTCCAAACTAAACATTTCATACACTGGTTGTTTCATACAGCTATGTTTTAAGTTTATTTACTACCTTATTTTGTTTTTATTTTATCTGCAAAGTGAATATTTTCAATTTCTCATCACAACTAAACTCACCATTCTGATATATGACTCTTCATAGTTCGCCAATGGTAACTGCATAGCAACCAGTGTGGTGGTGTGTGTGTGTGTGTGTGTGTGTGGGGGGGTTCTAATTTGCATAATCATACATATTCATCAACTTTGCTCTCCTAATGAGAGTAAAGATGAAGAGGCAGTTTTAGGTGCTTGTTGGGTGTAAATTTAATTGTTTAAACTATAGTTACACGTTACCGTAAGTTCTATATAGAACCATTTGCATGATTAAAGGGTTCTCTGCATGGTGAATTGGTTCTTTAGATTGATGGAGAATGTGCTATAGATGGTTCTATATAGAATCTTTTTTAAAAGGGTTCTATGAAGCACCAAAAAGGGGTCTGCTATAGTTAAGATGTCAAGCATCAATCTAAAGAACGATTTCAGCATGCAGAGAACCCTTTAATCATGCAAAGGGATTTTTAAATGTTCTATGTAGCATCATTTTTTACTAAAGAACCCTTGAAGAACCATCTTTTTTAAGAGTGTATACTTACTTATTTACTCTCTTTATGAGATAAGAGGTGAAGAGATTCTCTAAACCTGTCTTGGGTGTAAAATTAACAATTTGAACTACTTTTAAAGGTGTTGGTATAGTTATTTATCTGTTATGTATCACGTGGCTTATTTACAGCTAATTTTCAGTTGCAACTTCCACAAAGATGTTTTCCTCACATTCACATCTTCACAGTCAATTAGCACTGAGTGTGAAAACAGCAGGAGCTCAGCAGGAAGCGAGAGAGGAAATCACACCAGCTCAGTGTCAAACTCACTAATAAAACTCAGATTTATTCACTTCACACTTTTATAGTCCTGTTCAAAAGTGTGGAATCCCTGTTTTCAGTTATATCAACCCAATCCAGCTGCAGATACATTTAGAATACGATTCTGCTATGACACTGGGGCTCTATAACATCACAGCTTTTAAATAATTAGTAGGTAATTGTAAAAAACAGAAGAAATTTTACATTTTAGACATGTTTGTAGTGATAAACAGAGCAGAAGATTATAACATGACTGACAAAGCAGTGGAGCATAAATAAAAAGTTGCATTAAAATTAATACTGAAAATAAAGTTATAATTAAATAAATATCCAGAAGTTCTAATAAACTGAACATTCAGAGCTAATTTGTATTAAAATTAATGGCCAGAATGCCTTGTATTTCAAAAGTAGTGGTCAAATCTTGAGGTAGATAACTTCCCAAGAAACAATTATTGATTGATTAATTGCTGTGTATTATTTACCAATGTACTTGGATATGTACTTGTACAATGTACTTACCAATGCCTTGAATAAAACATTTAAAATAGCTTCTGATGTCTGGCTTATATATATGTATATATATATATATATATATATATATATATATATATATATATATATATGCCCTGTCCACCTGCAGTGTGTTCTGTTTCTGTCCAGTATATGTCCATGGTTCAGTGGTCAGTTATGACAGACTTTATGGAACAGCTAATGCTGCATAAACAAAAGCCTCCCTGCGTTGGACTGTCAGACTAATCTGAGTGAACTGTTACATAACAGCCGAGTCACCGGCCTGATCATCACACCCCTCATCACCCTCATTCACACACTTATTTTAGTATCTAATTTAAATTATTAAAATACTATGAATTACTCATCATCTACTATGAATTATTCATTATTTATTATAAATTTTTAGCATCTCCTAGAAATTATTTATCATCTACTATAAATTATTAGCATTTACTATGAATTATTCATCATCTACTATAAATTATTAGCTTCTACAATGAATCATTCAGCATCTACTATAAATTATTAGCAACTACAATGAAATATTCAGCATCTGCTATGAATTATTCAGTAACTACTATAAATATTGCAGGATCTACTATGAATTATGCAGCATAAACTAAAAATTGCTCAGTCTCTACTATGAATTATTCAGGATCTCCTATGAATTATTCTGTAACTATTATGAATTATGTAGTAAATACTACAATTGTATCTGTTTAAAGGAACAGTTATGACTAGTAATGCTAATGTAAGTTTCATACTAATACAGCTAACTGTGCCTGATGGAACTTCTACAATGCCAACTGGTGGCTATTTGTGTTCATTCACTGTTGGCAACATTATCGTTATTGACTCGACTTCATGTGAGAGTTACAGCGTCCTCCAGTGATCCGAGATTAAAACCAATCATTTTATTATGGATTAATCTCGCACATCGTATTCGCAGAATAATGAAAGAGAGAAATCCTCACTGGCTTTCTGTCTCAGCAACCTGTACACACGTCACACTCAGAGGAGGGGTGGGGGGGTGGAGTGAGCAGTGTGGGGGGGGGGTGAGTCTACTTAAAGCTGGATTAACACAAGGCAAACGTTACACCCCCAACACACACTCCACTCAACCTGCATCAGTAACGGCTCAAAGCAGACAGAGACACATCAGCATATTCAAACAGTTCAGAGAGAGAGAGAGACAGAGAGAGAGAGACAGAGAGAGAGTGGGGGACCAGATCAGCACATCTCAGATGCTTCTGCACACAAGAGAGAGAGACAGAGAAAGACAAGACCGAGAAAGAGAGAGTGAGAAACAGAGAGAGAGAGCAGTATCATTTCCTCCCATGATCTCTGTGGATAACTCTCGCTCCTCTGGAGCTCTGTGGGAGTAGCGTTGGAACCTGCTGGATCTCTTCTGGTTCTCCTCTGGATCTCCTCTGGATGAGCAGCCATGGGGGAGTGGACCATTCTGGAGCGGCTGCTGGAGGCGGCCGTGCAGCAGCACTCCACCATGATCGGCAGGTGAGAGAGGGTCACTAATTTACTGTATATTTAGAAAAGTTCCATTAAACTTCAAGACTATTAATCAGTTTTTCACCTTATGAGAGTGAAGAATGAAGGTTCCTAAACAGTTCTTGGTGGAATACTTCTCAGAAAAACCTACAATTGGTGTAGAGCCTTTTGGTGAGGTCCTTCAGATGTTTAAGATGCTCTTCACATTTACAGAAAATGTTCTTTAAAAGATATCCACTGAATGGGTCTTTATAGATCCAAGTGCTTTTTTTCTATTGTATGGTGAATTCTAAACAACATGAGTTGATGGATGTTGTATGGAGAATGGGAGAAAAATTAAAACAGTACTGTAGGTGGTGTAAATGTGTGGATTTGTGCTCTTTAGTGCTCTTATAAAGCATCAGTTTGAAGTAGAACTAGATAGCTCCACTACAGTCCTTTCAGATAGATAGATAGATAGATAGATAGATAGATAGATAGAAAGAGAGAGAGAGAGAGAGAGAGAGAGAGAGAGAGAGATTTTAGATTATAACTTAACTAACCGTAACTCCAGTAATCATTTCCTTCATAATTCTGATCGTGATTAAAACTACTCTCTGAACACTTTATCTGAATCCCCTGCCTTGTAGCTCCAACTTGCTGGTGTCCAATATCTGGTCAATAGCAGTTCTGTGATCAGAAACTGACCAATGAATGGAGTTAAGTGGGGCTGATCAGTTGTGCAGTGCCCTATGGAAGACAAGAGCTATGCAAACTGTGAAACTGTGAAAACTGACATAAAGATCTGTTGTGGTCCAGAAAGATTAATACTAGTGCATTTTTAACACCTGGTTTTCTTGTAAAAGAAGCATAACTGAACCTAGTCTGGTCCAATTCGATTTTAACCCAAACTGCAGTTATTGCCTTTTGCCTTTAGAGGGCAGTATTGTAGACCCACTGGTGGAGTAGGCAGTGGGAAGAGTCGGAAAAATTCCTGGTGAGCCAGTAACATTTTAGGGATGGTTACTGCGGGCTAACATATTATATAATATTATATGTAACATTGTATATTATATTTTATACAACAGTTAGTTCCGGCCACACAAGCTGATTGGTTGAGAAGCGGTCTAACCACGCTGTTATTTCGCCATAACATCACGTTTTTTTCACAAACACTATATCACTCCGCTGAGACGTCGTTGCTAAGCAACGACTTTGACAGCTGTGGGAGACGCTCAAGCCATTTGAACGTTTTTATTTCTTACTTTGCCACAAACAGAAAATGGATACTTTTAAGATCACATTTGACCGACAGCCGATTTGGTCAGACTCTGAAGATGAGACGACACTAAATTCACCACTGAGCAGCTTTTCAGTCGGCAGCTGTGACAGAAGAACAGCTAAACAACCTGGAATCAGCCAGAAATGAACCCAACACCATTCGCCAAACTAAATGGGCTGTAAGATTTTATGGCTCAGTCCGATTTGGTCAGACTCTGAAGATCAGACTGCACGTTTGGCGAATGGTATTTGGCTCATTTCTGGCTAAATCCAGGTTGTTTAGCTGTTCTTCTGTCACAGCTGTTGACAGAAAAGCTGCTCAGTGGTGATGACAGTTTCGGAATCTAGTGTAAAGAGCTGGAGAACGAACTGCTGGCTGCGCAGCGAGTGACAGAGCTCGTTACTCTGACGTAGCAAAAAGCTGCTTGTTAAGGAACTATAATTTGGCGGAAGGAACTGCTAACATTAAAACATATTAAATGCCACGTTCATCGACCCATTTATTTATTTCTGACTTTATTTATTTAACTGTTGTATAAAAGCAATAGAACAATCGAGGTCGTGCATTATCGCAAAATAACATCACGGTTCTATTGCTTAAATAATCCACACATATAAACGCAAGAATGCACAGGGGTTAAATCAGCCCCCCTCCTCAGGTGGTACAGGTCAGCAATAAGTCTCATAGAGTGGGCACAGATTAGCCTGGTCAAAAAACCCATCAGGCAGCTTTCTAGAGTTCATTACTTTTTGCATTGCTTATCAAAGTAGCAGCTGTCGCAGGTGGATGTTCCTGATAAAGTGGCCAGTTAGTGGAAGTACAAGGTGGGTGTTTCTAATATAGTGGCCAGTTACTGGAAGCACAAGGTGGGTGTTTCTAATAAAATGGCCAGTTAGTGGAAACACAAAGTAGGTGTTTCTAATAAAGTGACCAGCTAGTAAAAGTAAAAGGTAGCTGTTTCTAATAAAGTGACTAGTTAGTGGAAGTACAGTGTAGTTGCTTTAATAAACTGGCCAGTTATTGGAAATACAATGTGGGTGTTTCTAATAAAGTGGCCAGCTAGTAAAAGTACAAGGTAGGTGTTTCTAATAAAGTAGCTAGTTAGTGGAAATACTAGGTGGGTGTTTATAATAAAGTGGCCAGTGAGTGGAAGCACAAGGTAGGTGTTTTTAATAAAGTGGCCAGTTAGTGGAAATACTAGGTAGGTGTTTATAATAAAGTGGCCAGTGAGTGGAAGCACAAGGTAGGTGTTTCTAATAAAGTGGCCAGTTAGTGGAAATACTAGGTGGGTGTTTATAATAAAGTGGCCAGTGAGTGGAAATACTAGGTAGGTGTTTCTAATAAACCGGCCAGCTAGTAACAGTACAAGGAAGTTGTTTCTAATAAAGTGGTCAGTTAGTCGAAGCACAAGGTGGGTGATTCTAATAAAGTGGCCAGTTAGTGGAAACACAAGGCAGCAGTTTCTAATAAAGTGGACATTCTGTTTTGTAGGATCCTCCTGACTGTGGTTGTGATCTTCCGGATTCTGATCGTGGCCATTGTCGGGGAGACAGTGTACGATGATGAGCAGTCCATGTTCGTGTGCAACACACTACAGCCGGGCTGCAACCAGGCCTGCTACGACAAAGCATTTCCCATCTCTCACATCAGATACTGGGTGTTCCAGATTATTATGGTCTGCACACCCAGCCTGTGCTTCATCACCTACTCCGTGCACCAGTCGGCCAAGCAGAAGGAGCGCAGGTACTCCACCGTTTACCTGAGCCTGGACAAAGACACGGACTGCTTGAAACGGGATGACAGCAAGAAGCTGAAAAACGCCATCGTGAATGGGGTGCTCCAGAACACAGAGAACTCCAGCAAGGAGGCGGAGCCTGAGTGCCTAGAGGTGAAGGATATCCCCCATTCCTCCATCAGGACACCCAAGTCCAAAATGAGACGGCAAGAAGGCATCTCCAGGTTCTACATCATCCAGGTGGTCTTCAGGAACGCTCTGGAGATCGGGTTCCTGGTGGGTCAGTACTTCTTGTATGGCTTCAACGTCCCTGCAGTCTACGAGTGTGACCGCTACCCCTGCATCAAAGACGTTGAGTGTTACGTGTCCAGACCTACGGAGAAGACCGTCTTCCTGGTCTTCATGTTTGCCGTCAGTGGCATCTGTGTGGTGCTGAACCTGGCGGAGCTCAACCATCTGGGCTGGAGGAAGATTAAAACGGCAGTGAGGGGCGTGCAGGCCAGGAGGAAGTCCATCTACGAGATCAGGAACAAGGAACTGCCCAGGATGAGCATGCCCACTTTTGGACGCACCCAGTCCAGTGACTCTGCTTACGTTTGAGATGGAGTAACTAATAAGTTACTTTATTGTAACTGTATAAGTGCACGATGGACTCTCCATCTCACGGGCTTCTTTTGTGGAGTTGGTGGGGTATTGATTGGTTTTATTTGTCTCTTGTGGACAAGAAAAGCAGACAGACCAAACATTTGTCTGTATGGATATCTCTGAAAGGCACTTGGACAACTTTTAGTCCTGTTTTTATTTTATATCATCAATGAGATCTTGTTATTTTCTTTGATTTTTTGTGTTGACTATTTGCTACTGGATCCACAGGACCAGGAGAACCAGTGGCAGATAAGCATTGCACTAAATATGAATTTCAGAAGCCAAAATGAACCCAAATTTGTGCTGTGAAGGTCTTTTTTTCTTTGATCTTGCTTTTTACACTCCTTATGCTTGGTAGCATCATGTTGCACGCCACAGATTAGCTTGTAATACTGCAGCTCTGATTTATTTATCTACACGCAAATCAGACTTCTTTATCTTCATGCTACAATATCTCTGTTTGGGGTTTAGATCATATAGCTTTGCGTATCCTGTGGTCTTTGTTGCCTGTGCTTGCACCATGTACCTTAAAGTGAGCCACCACTTCATTGCTTTAAGCTGACCTGCAGGCAGTGGATGCCACAAATGCTAATGTGTTACTCTGGATGTTTATTTATTTATTTATTTATTTATTCATTCATTTATTTAATATTTATTTATGTATTTAGCCTGTTTACACCAAAGCGCCCATTGCTTTTATTTTGTTTAAGAAAATGAAGGGTATTCTCTTGTTTTCATTTCATTGTTTTCAAGTGCCATATTTGTACATAAGAAATATACATACTATTATAGGCTATAATGTAATCCTTATCATTGGACAGAATTCCTGCTGTGGAATATCGTCTTCTTTCTCTTTAATCCAAAATAATATGGGAAGGGGAACAGTATGACTACTTTATTTAGCATTAACATAAACATATTCCAATAGTCCATATTCCTGTACTACATAATTACAGTGTTCTTGGTGCTGTAGTACACTTTTAAAAATAAAGGTCTCAAAAAGGGTTCTTCAGACCATTTTTGGTTCCCTAAACCAGCAGTTCTAAAAGTGGTCCACCAGTCCACATTTTTAATAATCCCAAAAAATAAGTTTCAATCATTTACTGATTCGGGATCCCTGAGGACCGGTTTGAGAACCACTGCCCTAACCCACCTTTACATGGATAGGTCTTTTTAAAAAAGTCAACTGAAAGGTTCTTTGAGGACCCAAAGGTGGTTTTCCATTCCAAATAAAACCTTTTTGGAACCTCTATTTTTAAAGCGTGTACACACGGTGCAATCTGATTTCTATACAACTGCCCCTGGTGCTTTCAGTACCCAATGGAGTGATGTTACCAGGTGAAAAAAGCTCAAAAATAAATGACAGAATTTGTCACTGTAAGACCCTGTGTGCTGTGCATTGCTTTCTTACACACCTTTATCTGGGAAATAGTGCTTTGGTTGTCAGGCAAATCCCTGAGCTCCAGCCCGGCGCACTCTGTCATTCAACTTCTCTATGAATCAACTTCCTTTCAACCTGTCAAAACGCTTGCGTGTTGTTTTTCGGTGCGGTCAGCACGGTGCTGCTTAAACCTGATCCGAGGCGGAACGTTTCCTCTCGCGGAGCCGGAGCGAAGCTGACACTGTGTTTATGGCAGCAGCTTCCGCTCGGGGCAGGCAGGGAGACATCATGATCCCCGAGGGCCTGAGGACCAGACAAACCAGGGTCTGACCGCTGCAGAGGTCACCGAGAATCTGCTGAACACAGAAGGGCTTCAAAGATCAGTCGACCATTATGAACGCAGATCTGAAAAGTGCTCTATAATGTTTAAATGAACCACAGAGTAATTCACTACAGGAATTGTAGGGGGCGATATGGCTTCTGTTGGAAGCCCTGGTGGATCAATCTGCTGTTCAGCCGAGACCTGAGCAACTGTCTGTGCTCCAGAAAACCTCGAACGACCCAGCTCAGGATCATCCTCTCTACCTTATCTCACTCCTCGACTTACTGCTGCTGCTTTCATACTCACTCACTGCTTCAATCCCTCTCTCTCTCTCTCTCACACTCTCTCTCTCTCTCTCTCTCTCTCTCTATCCTCTTATACCATACTGTTTTCCTACATTCTTCCAGTATCAAGCTTTAAATTCACTCTTTTAAAGGCACACATCATTTTATAAACATGCATACTCAAATCCTACAGTATCTCTAGAGTAAGACTTTCCAGCTTAAAGACTACAAACCCTTCAAAACCTTTCTAATGATGTATCTTGAAGGTGGGAGGAACATTTGAAAAACTACAGCTGATTTAGGGAAGATATTAGGGTAAGCTGACCAGATTTCTGAAACAAAAACCAGGGACATTCCCAGTTCAGCAGTCAATATATTATTAAAATATCCAATGTTTTTATCTATTAAATTTAAAAGGATAGACATTTCTAGTTTCATGTATTTTAACCATGTATCCATGGTAACTGCTGTACACTCAAAGAAATTGGTCAGCATGTATGGGAATAAATTACAGTAGTCCTAAAAGACTTTTATTTCTTACTCTCACCCCCTCACAGAATTTGTCGCTCGTTTTTAAAAGTGAAGTCATTCAGTAAAAAGGGCCCCAAAAGTCACTAGCGGCTCAGGCAGGAATGAGGCAGACACATGTTTACCACTAAAGATTCAGTGGCTGTCTCAGCCCATAGTTCATATTCAAATTAAATATTTTCGCAGAAAACAAGAAAAAAGCCCTGTGGCTGCAGCCCAATATTCAGACCCCAAAACTCACTCCTTGGGCAGCTCCAGTTCTGGACAGACAGAAACGCTGCTATCAGCATATGTCGTATGTCATATATGGAGGCTGAAAAAATGGTCAGTCAGCACCGGCAGCAACCACTGATTCTTCTTCTTTCTACATCTTCCAACCGGAGCTACAGCACCACCAAATTCAAGCTGCCACTTCAACGTAAAAACGTGAAAGACGCCCTGTAGAGCCACTGTTCTGGGCTATTGTAGAAACATGGCGGCGCAACATGGCAGCCTCTTTTGGAAGAGGAGCCACTACCTATATAGATATGAAGGGCTCATTCAAAGATAACAAAAACACAATGATTCGTAACTACACTAATAAAAATATTCAGTTTCTGTTAATAGATCCCCCTAAATCTTAGACACTGCACCTTAATGTCTTTTACAAGCTTCAGATGTCCATGTTTAATCTACATAGCACCTAATCTAATGAATCTAACGTTCACCGGCTCTAACTCAGCACTAATGTACTACCAGAATCCCATAAGGGTGCCAGCAGACCCATCTCAAACCGAAGGCCTAGTTCTAATAGTCAGAGTTAATCAGTGGAAGAATCACATTTGGTTCCCTAAAGAACAGTCCCTTTAAGGACTATTGATACCAGTGAGATGTGCAAATGTCAATACCTTTAAAGAACCTCAACAGTATAATTCCAGTTCAAGGTTTTTCCTAGAACCATACCAGAAACTCTTATTTTTGAGAGTGCAGTCGTGCCACTAGCGAAGACAAGTCTTCACAAAAGCTGAATTGAGCAGCCAAACTGAAAGGTGTTTGATATTCCAGAGCTCAAACGCAGCTGAAATCTATTTCAGACTTGTTTTCTCATCATCTATTTTTGCATAGAGGCTCCGGCTTGATGTCTGCACTAAAGCAGCTTCAGGCATGATTGATCTAGCAGCACAGAAATAAACCGTTTTAAAGTCCTCTGTGGTGCTGAGGGAAAACAGCCCATCTCCTGCGAACTCTCAGCCCAAATCCCTCCCAGTGGAGCTCAGAGGAGAGTGGCTTTCTCTCACATTCCGCATAAATATTCACATCAAACAGCTGAGAGGATGCGCTCCCATTTGGAGAAGCTTTTAGGAGCAAACTGTCCCTCAAAACCTGCATGAGACTGTAATGCACACATCTGAAAACATCAGGTTTCTAAATGGTCCTCTTCTTGGATGCATGGTTCTGCACTCTTCTCAAACATGGAGGTGCCAAGTGGAACCAAAAACGGTTATTTGGAGCGGTGCCGTACACCAGGAGTGCCCAAACTTTGTGCCTTGTGGGGGTCGAAGTGTAAAGCCAAAAAACAAAACAATATACAAATAAAGATGGTTGGTTTCAAAAATGCATTTCATAACACCACACACTTAAAAAAGATGGTTCTTCTGGGGTTCTTTAGTAAAGGCAATCGTTCTATTTAGAACTATGAGTTCTATACAAGCATGAGTTCTCATGCTTAAATTGTTCTTTGAATGACATAATTGTTCTTTACATTGATGGAGAATGTGCTGCGTATGGTTCTTAATCAAAACCTTTTTGAAAATGGTTCTATCTAGCACCAAAAATGGTTCTGCTATTGTTACAGTACCCAGCTTGTTTTTCAAAAAGGCTCTATATAAAAAAAATATACAACACATTCTTCATCAATCTGAAGAACTATTCCATCATACAAAGAACTATTTAAGCATGAAATGGTTCTAAAAATCATCGCCTTTACTAAAGAACCTTCAAGAACCATAGTTAAATACAGGTCAAAACATGCATGAGTTGTTTCTTGCATGGTTAAATAGTTTGTCTGTTGCATTTAGTTTGTTAAATAACCTTTTAAGTGGTTCTATCTAGCACCAAAAAGGTTTTCGTACAGTATGGAACAGTATAGAAGAACCACTTTTGATTCCCTTTCAATGAATGAACCATTTTTGGAATCTGAAAGTGTGAAGAACACAATTAAAGTGTGAAGAACCTCCAGGTAATGTAAACAATCTGTATACTATAACCACATTTCCAAGCCAAGAACCAGTTGAAAACCCTTTTGTAGGAAGAAGCCTTTCATTTATATTAAGTGAAGGTTCTTTATACTTTAAGAAAAGGTTCCTCACACTCACATATCACATTGCAAATCTCTTATCTCTTTAAAATAAAGGTTCCTCGTACATCTGGTTTCATGAAAACGTTTAATTAGTATAGAACCTTTATGTTATGTGGAAGTTCATTCAAATTTAAAAGGTTCTTCACATCTCATTGAAAAACTTCCATCAGAAGTTATTTTTGGGAACCAAGAGTTGTTTTTTTATGACATTGCTGCCCTGTTACTGTTAAATATGTACTGTATTTTATGCTTATAGTTTGTTCCAGTATCTGTGATGAAAAAAAAACAACAATAACTGAATGACT